CGTAGTTTATACAGCGTAGTTTTATCGCTATATGCAGGACAACATTGTTGCAAAGTTTCAATTGGATGGATAAATTTTAACCTCGTTAAAAAAAAATTCAAAGTTTGCTTCAAGAAGCGTTCAAGATATTATGTTTTGAGCTACAGGTCGACAGCGCACGAGAAAATGTTTTAAGTATATTCAGGCGGATGAAACGCATTCCTTGAATGTAAGATGTAGCGCTTTTATATGCAAATGAAGTCTTTTGTCTTTACGACATCTTGGGATTTTAATTGACCTGCCATGACGGAATGCGTCAAATCCGCCTAGCAAAAATCGAAGAATTCTCTCAGGCCCGCTCTATAGACCCCTTGCAGTTCATGGGAATGCAGCTCCAACTGGAGGACAAAACAATAGTGATTCTAGTTCCCAAGAGGATAAAAATCTTTTGTTTTGTCCTCCAGATGAAGCTGTTTTGACGTCACATGCAAGGGGTCTATACCCCGAACTTCTCATGTGCCGAATACAACTCCTATTTTAGTCGACTTAAATGATTAAATACGGCATTTGACTTAGACGCCGAATTTTAAGTGACGAAGTTAATTCCAAATCCCCTCCCGGTCAAAACTCTTTTGCTCATTTTCTTCTCCTCACGTTTCTCCATCCTTTCGTCTCTGTGGAAGACGAAAAGTTTCTCTTAAAAAATAAACATTATCGGTGGTTGAGAATGCTTTGACTAGATGCCTACAAAATATGTGAATGTTAAAAAACCTGAATATGTATCCTGATTTAAAAAAAAAAAAAAAAAATCCACACACACACAACATGACACAGTTTGTACTTCGTCAATTCAGTGTTGCATCGCGCCAACGTCATTGAGAGGAAGGAGTGAAATAAAGTTCCTTTTATGAGTTCTACCACTAGATACATATACACGTGCTCCTAATATACAAATGTCATTATTACAGACTYATTGAGCAGATTTTGTATACTGCCCGATAGCACAACCATTAGACTGTAACAAAGCTAGACAGGGTAACCTTGCTTGGTGACCGAGGAGGGTTGTTCGCTTGTTTCATCTACATAAACATTGGCATGTGGAGCATTACTACATACGCATTTGCTTGAGAATATTTTGTATGCTGCTCGACAGCACGACCATTAGACTGTAACAAAGCTAGACATTGTAACCTTGCTTGGTGACCGTGGAGGGTTGTTCGCTTGTTTCATCTACATAAACATTGGCATGTGGAACATTTTTACAGACGCATTTGCTTGAGCAGATGTTGTTTGTTGCCCAAAGCACAACCATTAGACGGCAACAAAGCTAGACAGAGTAGCTTGGTGACCGTGGAGGGTTGTTCGCTTGTTTCNACGAGTACGAGTTTTGGCCGCGCGGCCATAGTGCGCATGCGTAAGTAAGCGTGACTGTCACACAGTGGCGGGAAACTCGTTGTCGGCCGCGCGTTGACAACGAGAATTTTAGAGAAAGTCGTTCCGGCGAGAACGAGTTTTAAAAGGTGAGTTTTTTCCTATCAATTTTACTTTATTACTTTTTAAAGTTTACACAAATACTCTTGGTTGACTAATGAAAGTTGTGTACAAATTTAGTTAAATACAAAAGAATTTTTACAACKTTTTTCGGTGAAAAATGTGACAWACGTTACGAGGCGAATAATTTGTTTACATTTCGGTACATTAGCATAAGCACATGGCGTTTTAACCTAACTATCGGTGAATTAGCACTGAATATTGAAACAACATGGCAAAATAAGCATTCAGCAATTCTGAGCTTCCTATATGGAATGCTCTTTGMGTCAAATGGTTTTAAAAACTCCAAAATTTTAGAGAGATGAGCTATTAAAATTTAGCGCTTTTGAGCTCTTTACATGTAACTTATTCGAAATTAAGTTATTTTGTTCATAAAACGATGTGGCAATAAAACATAACATARCATAACTGTGTAACTGTTCAAACTTTCCTTTCTTTTCAGTGTGGTCATGGCGAAACGTGAGCTTTTCATATTCAGAAAAGAACATGATCTGCTTCTATTAAGGGAGGTGTTGGTAGAAATGCCTTATCAGTTTAAAAGTGGTTCGAAAGARAKGGGGCTAGCCTGGGATAAGATTGCCAACAATCTCAATCAAGGGAATATGAARGTTASCAAACGTTCTTCCAGGGAAAGATTCCAAAAATTACACGCTGATTTTAAGAAAAAAGAGTCCCAAGAATTGAAGTCAAGTGGCGATGAGGTAGAGTTTGATGAAGTACATCAAGCGTTGACTGATATAAATGATCTTATGAGAAATTATGAAGAAGAGAGAGGAGAAAAAGAGGATAGGCAAAAGCAGCAAGCAGAAGAGATGAGGAAGAAAGCTTCTGAGAAGTTGAGCGAGACGAAAAAAAGGAAACAAATGAGCAGTGCCAGTGCTGAAGATGAGGATGATGATCATGATGAAGAAAAAATAACTCCTAAGAAAAAAAGAAACAACATCACAGACCTCCTAGAACAGTCAATGGAAAGAAAGGTCAAAGAGAATGCAAATCAGGTATCATTAAGGCAGAGGGAGCTGGACATTAGGGCTGAAGAAGCAAAGCAACAGCAGCAGTTTCAAGCAATGCTACTACAACAGCAACAACAGTTTCAGCAACAATTACACCATCATCAACAACAACAGCAACAACAACAGCAGCAACAACAATCTATGCATATGGCTTTGATCAATACACTCTCTCAGCTACTTAAAAACAATAAATAAAACTTGTCAAAACTCATATGGCAATTAGATATTTTTTAGTATATCTACATCTCATGACTTTGATATATTTCATTTATCATTTAATCATTTGTTAACAATAAAGAATATTATAACACWTTTTKAGGAATATGTATTTCTCTATTCCAATTTACTTCTTTAGTTCATGTACATYAACAGTGCTTTGTAATAGTTGCATTGTATATAATTAATACATTTKTTTTCCAATTTGTTAAATAATATACATTATGTACATAAATTCAGGAATGTACAAGAATTGTTATTAAATATAATGCACATTATGTCCTTAAARTGTGTTCACGGCATTATGATTATATCAATAGGATTCAAATTATTGTATGCTCTTATAAATTGTTTGCAGGTTAATTTCTTCAAATATTCCCTTATTGTTAAGTACAATAAGATTAGTGAAAGAACAATTAAATATTCATAAACAGTACCTGTAGCTATGGGGGTGCAAGTGAGGTTCCCCCTCCCCAACATCTCTACATTTTCATTATAAAAAAAGTTGTAAAACTCATGAATAATTAATGAGGAAAACACAATAGAAATCAGAACCGTGAAGAGTGTTGTAATATTTGATT